GAAGAAAAACCTACAAAAACTGTGAAACAACTTCTGAATGGCAAACTGTTTATTTTATTTTAAAAAGGGTACAACATTGTTTTGGTCCTTCCTTTCCTCCCAAAACCTTCATCTTTCCTTCCTGCTCTCATTTCTCTATTGTCTTACAGATCAGCCAGGTGCTTCTCTAGTACACTGCAGTATGCTTTTGTTAGAATTGATATTAAATTGTAGTGTAGACAAACCTCCCTTTTTGAAACAGTCATTGCAAATTTACTGAGTAAAAAGTTGCCAGACTGATAGTAAAGTAAAATTAAGTCCTTTATTTATCCTAGGAGAAAGAGCAAGGCCAGTGCAATGTATGTTCCCCAAACTGTCCCAGGAAAGTCCCTAAACACTATTCAGGCAGGAATAGCAGTAAGATGCAGTTCAGTCTCCAGCCCCATTCAGCCCTTGACACCCTTGCTGGCAACGCAAGAAAGCCAGTTAGTGCCAGCTACATCTGTTTATCTGGGTTGATAATTATGTTCCCCATCATCACAGCATCTGAGGCACCTCACAAGCATTATGTCCTCACAACCACCTCTCTGAGGTAGGGCAGCATCATCATCATCCACACTTTACAGATGGGGAATTGAGGCACAGAAAGAGTAATAGGTTTACCCAAAGTCACAGAGGAAATCTGTGGCAGAGCCAGGAATTGAACCCAGGAAGAATCTCTCAAAACCCATCCTTCCTTTCTTCCCTGACCAACTACGATGACCATGAATTTTCTGATGTGACACCTTGCACTGAACTTGACTGAGAAACAGCCATCAGACAGTAACAACATTTTAGCCAATACTGCTATGGGCTGAATGGCTCATGGATCAGATATGGAAAGATGACATTGCACTAGTTAGTAATCATGGATTGTTCTCTTTTTAAATCTGATGGATCTTCATTCATCTGAGGGATGATTTACTGATTGTGGATAATTCACCCAACAAATATTGAGATGTTCCACCAAATAAAATTGTGATGATTTCCCCCATTCTTTGCCTCTTCCCCTTTTTTACCCCTGATGAATTTCCCATCTTAGCTTGTCAACCAACAAATCAAAATTGAACTGTTACAAAATAAAATAACTGAATCCCCAGTATAAGTTTGGCAAGACAGCAATTCTCTTGATTGCTTTTCACTAAATGCCTTCCTTAAACTAGAATTTATTTTAACTTGTTCTTTTAAAGTCCACTTGTGCTACAAACGTTTACAGGGACAATATCACCTTTAAAGCAGTGCAGTGCTTTAAAAGGATTCTTTTGAGCCAGATCATCTCAGGGACCCATTTCTGCAGCGCTGTCCGCGTACCTTCCTAGTCCATCCCAGAGAGTTCTCTGCGTGCTTGGATCTGCGATAGGGGGAGTAGGACTGGGCAGTGAGCTGACAGGGCCTGGACCACATCAATAATCCACTGAACTGGCCCCATGTAGATACTTGGAAAATGTAACACAGCCTGGGGGTGTATCCCCTTCTGTGAGACACCACACTCAGAGAGGAAACTAAGGAAGGGTACCTGGGGCGCCCCATATTGGTACTGTTGTAGCATTAATCCAGTAATGCAAAACTTAATAAGAGCACTCATGTCTACTATTATTATTTAACATTTATAGTCTGGTAGTGCCTAGAGAGCAACAAAGTTAGGGTCCCTTGAGCTAAACAGCATGGAAACAAAGGAAAGATGGTCCCTACCCCAGAGAGCTTACAAATCTAAAGACAAGGCCAGGATGTCAGTGCTGGACTCTGACTCCTGTTATTCCACTAAAATTAGATAAATACAGCTTAACAGGATGGTAGATTCTCCTCGCCCCATTTTGGTTGTTCAGCAGCAAAAAGAAGAGCGTTGCATCCTGTGTACTGCTGAAACAGGGAGGAGCTAGCTGCCTGCACTATTTGCCCAACAAACCTATTGCAAAGAAATAGCACAATCAAAGTTGTTTTTTTAATTATACCTCTGCCTACCACTACTTTGGCATTTAAGGGTTTACTACACTGCAAATATAATGGTTAAGGAATCCACCTAAGAGATAGCAACATTCACTGGTGGGACTGAAACATGTCCCTATAACATGAGAGAATAATGCTTTTAAGACAGGGAATACAGGAAACTATGATCGTTATTGTTCTCTTCACCCGATTTGCCCTTGCTGTTTCAGAATGTTATAGTGTTGCCATGTAAACTGTTAACCAGCTACCACTTTCCAACCAAGAGGAAGCTGTCTTTCATGGGCAGCTGAAATAATTCTCTCTCTCTTCCTTAGTGAGCTCACAGAGTCTATGAAGCAAAATTAGCATTTGTAAAGCGCTTCAATATCCTCTAAGGAGAAGTGTACTACCACATTATGGCTCCCACCAGCACACAGAGATCATTGCGTATGGAGAAGCAGAGGCACAGGAAAGAGTCATCTGCCTGTTCTGCTACCAGGAAACAACTGCATGGTCCCATGATGAGAGTTTCTCTGAAGCGGCTAACCAGCCAAAAGTATCCCTCCCATGGGAGACTTAGTAAATTGGAAGCACAGCACCACTCAGTATAGTGGCTGCTCGAAGAGACCCAAAATAAATACTTTCCCCCCTTCCTTTTTCACCTTTGTTGAAGAATTGTCAGAGGGACTATTTTAGACACTATCACTGCATCCTAGGTACACAGCCTTGATCTGGTCAGTTTTACCTTCTCCTCAAAACAGGCTGGTGTGTTGTCCCAACGGGGTACAGTAGTACTACTGGCTTCAGATGCCTAATATCTAATGTCTAGACTAGAAGGATTTGAGGAAAGAGGAAGAAAAGAAGGGTGGGGTAGAAGAGGGCAAAATGTGACAAAATATTGGTGTGAGGGTAACATTGGTCAGGGGTTCCCCAACTTTTTTCCCTGAGGCCCACCTGTGCAGCTTCAATAGGCATTGTGCCCCGCTATTAACACACATCTGTCAGGGAGAGGGTCCCTGTGGGCATGTGCAGCCATCTTGTCGCAGCAGGGACCAGGGACAGCAAGAGGGCAAAGGGGCCTGGCAGGTGCCACAGCCAGCCCCCACCGACAGCCTTCACCTCAGCAGCCCACTGAGGGCCTTGAACTGGTCACCCGGCAGCCCTGCCTGTCACCCACCCAGCACTCTGGCTGCCTCACAGACACCCACTCCGTGGGAATTAGGAAAGGGCTTGAGGGCCGCCAATGCTGGGCAGAGGCAAGCGCTCAGGCTGGGCCCAGCTGTTACCTTGATGGTCCTGATCACGACATTGTAAACTCCAGGCAGAAACAGAGGGGCAAGGCCAAGCCCGATCCCTGGGGGGTCTGCAGGGCTGATATTCCAGGGGGCCTAATAGCCCCAGAACACATGATGCGGCAAAGCGGGAATGGCCATAGTGTTACCATATTCAAGTTCCCAAATAGAGGACACTGCTGAGGGGAGAGGAGGTACAGCTAGGGAGTACTGGAGGGGTGTGGGTGTACTGAGAAGGGTATTTGGGGTGCTAGAAGGGGTACCTGCAGCCTCATTGTCAAGGTGGGGGGCAGTGTTGCATTCCCTGGCATGGTGGCAGGTGCGGGCTTGGGACAGTGCAAGCCCCTCAGTCAGCACCTCTCTGCAGGCCTCTCCCCCTCCCAAGGATGGAAGCCAGGGCCAGGCCCTTTCACCCCTCCCAGCCAAGCTCTGAGGCCCCATGACAGGGTAGGTGGCCTGAACAAGAGGTGCCTGGCAGCTCTGCTTATAGCAGCAAACCCTTCAGCTGCCCTGGAAACCACCACCCCTTGGAGTCGGCCCCTTCTCCTCCTCTGCCCACCGCCTGGTGGCTCTGCTTCACCTTCTGCTGCCCACCAGGGGCATTGAGCTCCTTTGACCCTGAGCCACCGCTGGCTGCCAATGTATACAGTTTGAAGGAGGGCAAAACCTCCATGCACCCTCACTAACTCCACCCATAGTAGACCACCTGGGACTATGTCACGGCCCACAGTCTGAGAACTCCTAGCCTAGGGAACACAGATCTAGCTACAGAGATCCATGCCTTCAGGACCACACAGCTGGACTACTACAACTCACCCTATTAGGGACAAGCACCCCAAATCATGAAATCTTAAATTAGTTCAGAAGGCAGCAGCCAATGTTCTGTTTAGTACTAACTGGCTACTCACAGAATAATGGGTAAAAGTCAAGGTTTGTTAATTTTATCAAGTCCCTCTATGGAATTGGCCCATGACATTATAGAAAACTATCCAACAATTTTGTTCCTTGGGAACTCAGAAGCTGAAGGTCATGAGAAACAAGGCTTTGGAACTCATTACCAGAGAAGGGGAGTGACCACAAAACTCATGGCCTTCAGAATAAAGTATAAAACTCACTTTGTTCAATGAACCTTTCTCACAGTTGCAACTAAACTCAGCAAGGAACAGGAGGAGAAAGAGGGAGAAGATAAAGAAAAAATCAATAGGGCTTTTTTTTTTTTTGTTATTTTCTTTAAAGCTGCATAGCCCCAACAACCATAGGGGAAGTAGGGAGCAAAATTAGACCACTAGCATATTTCTTGTGAATTTGGTTCTCTTGGGATGTGCTCAGATGGATATCATTATGAGAACCTAGACAGAGATAAAAAGAAGGGGGGGGGAGAAAAAACAGAAAAGGTAGAGACATGCATGTCAAGCTGTCTTGAGTAGCTCACAACTGTGAGTGAATGCCAGCCTCAGGGCAGACTGTCAAGAAGCAGGGCACAAACCCTAAACTGACTGTGAGCTCTATACTTAGATTTCACCAACTAAGTAACAAACATGAACTCCTAAAGCACTATAGCAGCCTAAGCATGGAGTCACAGACAGTCCCCTTGGATACTCTGGGCTCTTGCCACCCAGGCAAACTTGCCTTTGTGACAGATGGTCCCTTACACCAAAAATCACAACAATATTCAAGTTACTCCCAGTCCCAATGGACCAGTCACTTACCCTAGGTCAATTTCACCTTAAAACTCACACCAAAGGTAACACGTATAGCCAATCCTATAATAAACTAAAGATTTATTAACTAAGAAAAAAATAAGAGCTATTTACAAGGTTGAAGTAGGTAAACATACACACAAATAAGTTACAGTGTTTGGTTTCAAAAGTTAACAAAAACTGCTGTGATGTGCAAGCTTTCTATGTCCTCTAGAACTAATCCAAGCCAAGCAGCTTGGGGATCCCTTGCTTATGCTTAGAAATATTGCCCACTCCAAATTCCAAGGAGCATAGAGATACACTTCCTTCTGGTCAGGGATTTTTATTCCATTCCCCCAGAGTTCAAACTCATGGGACAAGTGTTTGTGGCAGTCTCCTCTTCGTGGGTGTGGAGAGCCAATCAACAAAGTCTTCGTCTTTGGATGTTTCACAGTGCCTCATTTGGTTTCAGTAGGCCTTCTTGTGTACAAGACCAGTACTTTACATTAATAAATGCTTCTTTCCTATTTGGGGAGTTACACAGTTACAGAGGTTTACAATGCAAACACTCACCATAATTTTATACCATGGGAGATGTTATAGATGTTATAAATGAGATCAATACATGGAACATCTTACAAGCATTTCATCAAGCCTAAACACATTCTTATAAATAGGGCCCCACCAAATTCACTGTCCATTTTAGTAAATTTCACGATCATAGGATTTTAAAAATCTTAAATTTCAGTTTCAGATATTTAAATCTAAAATTTCAATGTTGTAACCATGTGGGTCCCAACCCAAAAGGGACCATAAGGCCAGCTCTGCCCCCCCTCAAAAGTCATGACTTCCTCCCTCCCCCCCATACCAGGCCACCTTCACTTCTGCTGGCAGTGGTATTGCTTTCAGAGCTGGGCACCCACCCAGCAGCCACCGCTCTCTGGCCACCCAGCTCTGAAGGCAGTGCAGAAGTAAGGATGAGAATACTGCGACCTCCCTACTCTAGCCAGATTTCACAGTCCATGATGCCTTTTTCATGGTCGTGAATTTTGTAAGGCCCTACTTATAAACTTAACACCTTAACAGCTCCATATTAGCATTTTAATAATGCTAATGCGGAGATGAGCCAGACTGGTTTCCAGCTACGCATTTGTCAGTGTTCAGTGAGACCTAGAGGCCTTGGCATGAGCTGGCACCTAGTCTGCCAGAGTCACAACGCGCACACGCAAAAGGAATCCCATCTGGAAGAGTACCTCATCAGACCAGAAGCACTGCCTCCTAGGAAAGATGGACATTTTGGTCAAACCTAGGAGGCGTGCCCAGGAGTGGGGCTCCACTGTTTTAGGCACTGTACAAACAAACAGTTCTTTACTTGCAGAGCTTACAATCTAAAAAAAGATAAGAGACAAAACTGATAACCTATTGTCAGAAGCCCAGAACTACTAACTTACAATCCCTCCCAATTTCCCCCTCAAACAAACAACTCTTCCCACTCCCTTTCCCTGAGTCTAGCTACCAAAGCCAAGATCCTTTGCTACCATTGCTCACAGAGTTCTCTTCCCATCTTCACTGCCCCCACAGCAGAACAGTGAGCCTCACTGTGGGAAGAAATAGGAAGGGTTTTTCTCCCCATTTTGTTTTTCAGAAACCTGTGAGGGGTGTGCTCAAGACCACTTCCCTGGAGGGGTCGGGGTCCATGCTCACCCCTAGGGGAGGGGACCCACATGGCCTGGTCTCTGGCAGCAGCTCAGAGCCATTCCCCCTCTCCACCACTGAATTTTGCAATTCTGAAGTGGGGAAAAAAAATGTAGCCATAACTCTTATTTTTTACTTCTATATTTCCTCTTTGGTATGACACAGTCCTAATTTAATACATTTCTGAAATGAACCCTTATTTAAAGCACTGGCAGATATACTTAGCAGAATTCATATGGTAATATTCATGACTTGTATTTATAGTATAATTTTTTATGTTATTTTAAATTTAATGAAAAATGAATATTGTTGAAAGTTAATTATATATTGTGACCCATGAAATCTGGCAAAGTCCCTTTAAGGAAGCCTTTTAAAAAGACTGAGTCCTCTTATGCAAGAGTATTTTTAAGTATTATGTTTCGGTTTATTCTAAAGTTAGAATCAAGCAATTTTAAATGTTCACTTTCCCCAAGTTTACAGATGATACATGAAGCATCCTTGGTTAACAGGTTTCACATTTATTCTCAACTCACTTGAAACAAAAACTAAGCTATATGCTCATTCAAATAGTTATGTCTGAGGATATTTAAATCCCAAATGCTTCACAAAACAAGTAATCAGAACACAGAGAATGAAGACATACAGAGTATAATGATGTGTAATTACATTTATGAATTTTAGAATTCTACCACTACAAAACTGTCATACAGGCATTGAAAGTTATTACATCAGTGGTTAAAAAACAATTTTTTAATCCTTGCTCTGTGACTCTAGTATTATATCTAATTGTAAAATTCACAGGCCTGGATAGAGACATGGTAATGTTAGCTGCTGAGGTTGTTTTCAAAGCACTGTCTCTATGTTTTTCACACTACTTCCTCTGAAGAGGAAAGTCTAAATACAGACAGAAGTATTGCATCTATAGTTTATTACTGCTAATATTTGTCATCACTTCTGATCAGTTTGTAGAACATATGAGAACAGGTGAATCATATTCCATATTACAGATAATTCCTCCTAGGTATTAAAGCTAACATTGCCCATTTTAAATTTATTCTTAACACTAAAGAAATTATCTATAGAAGTCAGCAGTTCTTTCAGTAGATAGATATTGACCTCTTACAAGCTACAGAAAGTGTACATGTGGGCTCAAGTCTTCCTTTCTTCAGGTCTGATCTATCCTGCAAAATTAACATCAACACAAATGAAGTTTTTTTTAACTGAGTTTAGCATTAAAGTTACCACTAATTTTGCATGTAAATACACATTTACTTACATTAAATTCCAAAAAAGTAAACAGACTAAAAGAGTCATACTGAACAATGAAATATATTAACTTGCAACACCCACTGAGAGCAAGTCCCTAAGTTTAATTAGGGAGGGGGAGAAAAAGGGAGAAGTACGTAGTTCTAAACTAATCAACAAATTAAAGTTGTACTTTATTTTCTCTTAAGGAGCCCCAAATAAAGTCCTATAAAACCACTCCAAGATTATTTCTCACAAAAGCTAAGAGATCTGTATTGAACAAGATCTTCTTTTTAAAAGACTAAATAACATCCCCACAGTCCAAGGTTTAATTACATTCCTGGCTTATAACAGCATGTATTCATCACCTTCTCTGTTTGCTTGGTCACTTTTCGTACTTATCCTTTGTGTGCCGGCTCCTGTTCCGGTACCTAGGAGGAGAATAGCTGACTCTTCTTCTGGCCTGAAAGCTGGGTGTGTAAGGATAAGTTCTATGTTTCTTTGGTTTTTCTTCTTTCCTGCTCTCGCTTGGCTCAGGTGGTTTACTGTCCTCCTCCTCCTGTTCATGTTCTTGGTCTTGCTCTTTTTGGGAGGGTAACGTGTTCTTAATAGTATTAATAAGAAATCTTTTATTTGTACCTGCAAGAGGGCACTTCATCCTGTAAAGACATTTCAAAGTAATCATAAAACAACATCTTAACACAAATGTAAAAGTTCCACATCAGAATTCCCCACAATTTTTAGAGAGATTCAAGTTTGTGGTTTTGGCTTTCCTTGCATGCCACCTAGTGTAAACTGTGAGTACAGAAAAAGACATTCAGGATGTTCCCATTCCCCTTTTATCTTAGTCTTAAGGCTGGAAGCAGAATGGTTGTGTTACTTTAATAGGGAGGAAATACAGATTAGAGAAAAAAGATGTGGAGACTGAAGCTTATGTTACATTCTACATATGTGGACTTGCATAGTTCATATTAGAAATTATTTGTCACTGCTTAAATTATCTGATTTTTGAATAATATATATTCCAAGTCTGAGGGGAAAGGGCTGCAAGATCATGTTTTACATATTCAGTGTAGTTTATTTAATGAATTGAGAAATGTAGAAAGTAAAAGGCATTTTTGCATTAGGAACATCAAGCAGTTATAGTAATAAAATAGATAGGCTATTAAAGTGTTTAACTTTAGATTTGGGAAATGTCTTTCAAAAGAAAAGTTTATTTTTCAAAAAACCCAAGACACCAATCCCCTTTTTTCCCTTGTATGTTTCTAATCTTTGTCATGTACCAGCTCATCCAGTAGTCTCTAGCACATACCAATTTTTCTTTTTATCCGCTAGTTTTATTAACTAAATATTTTGCACTTATTTCATTCCTCTTGCTAGGATTAACTCTTTACAACCTTTTATTCCCTACACGTGTCATCTGCTAACAGATGCACTGAATAAAACAGATTGTTCAGTATCTGATTTAGATTTTTTTTTTCTGCTGTAAAAGTTTCTGAAGATTTCTTTTACCCTTGTGAGCTGCACTGACATTTTTCTCTTTCTTTGTTTAGAGTTCATGTGCAGGTTGAAAAACCTTCAAAAAATTTCTCTACAAATCCGAAGTGTTGATTCAGTAGGTGGCACTCTGTCCTCTAATTCTCAACATATGACCCAGAATTCATGTTAGGGATCACAGTGCTGTTGAAAGCAGAGTGTTTTGTATGAAATATAAGAAATACATCCTGATCATTTGCAATCATTCAGAGCCTATGGCTACTTCTGGGAAATTAGGGCTATTAAACCCCAATGTACAGGGGAGATTATTACTGTGCAGCTCCGTTTTGCACATCTAGCATCTTCCCTTAATTTCAACTGGATACAGTATTCATTCATGTTCCACAGGAATTTGCATAGCACTGCTAAGCAGTTGTCAAGCTTCACTCCAATGCTGGTTTCATTTCAGTATTAAAAAAAATTATTTATATAGATCTAGAATACATGATGATATGTCGGGATATAAATGTTTGATTGGTAAAAGTTAACGGATAATTACTCTTGAAGTAAAGCCTCAAGGGAATTATGCAGGTCATTTCAGAAGAGTGCCAATGAAAGAGTTATGCCACAACATCTGTTTTCTGTGCTTTACAGAATAGATCATTTTAGTTGCATGTAAATCTGGGATCTTTCAGCCGCACAAGTCCAGATGAATGAGAACATGGAGTTTCAAACTCCTAACAGTCAGGGAATGTTTTGATAGATATGCTGGGACATAAGATAAATTCAGAAGTATTGAACAACACAGAACAGTATGCATTTGCTTTGTTGTGTGAAACATACTTCTGTCCCGACTCAATGGCTTCTCAATGCAGGTGGGAATGAGGACCAAGATCAGACATGTTCAAAGAGATTTGGATTGAGTTAACCAGCCTTCCTGAGAGGATGGGGAATAAGCCAAAGGACAGAAAGAGAAGTAAACAAAGAACAAGTTTGGGCAGATAACATAAGCTTTCAAGAGTGGAGCTGGGGTGGTTGTGTGTTTTCCTTTATAAAGAGCCTTTCTTCTGTATAAAACAGCCAGACGGCTTCTGGAAAGAGAAGACTTTATGGAAGCATTCGCACAGACTGGAAGGACAAGCTACGATAGCTGACAAGGCTAGGCCTGAATGATAAAGCTCAGAATTTTTTCCAACATGTCAGAAAACTTACCACCAGCTTTAAACCTTTGTACCTTAAGCTTCTTAGAGTATTAGGGCAGCTTTTTGCAGCCTCTGCCCAGATAAAAACTTTAAATGCTTTGCATTTGTCTGTTTGTGCTTGCTTTTTACTATTATTGTTAAGCAAATGTACTGTTCTAGCACTGATGTGCATGGCACAGTACGAAGCAAGACAGTCCCTGCCTTTATAAAACAATCCCCTTAAATAAACAGCATCTTGTTTAACTGTTTGCTTTTGATGGTACAGTTGCTGCCTGCACAACACTGAGAATGAAGGGAACAGTCCTCTGTGGAGGAAACCTGATGGGAGGGATTCATCAGCCCCAAGATCAGAAAGAGGCTGAAGCAGGGCTGCAATCCAGGTGAAACAGGTGTCATGGATTGGGGTCTGTGCTGGCATGAAGTGAGCCCTCAGAGCTCAGCAGCACAGGGATAAAATAACCCATTACAGTGAGATATCAATCTTTAGGTTTTAGTGATCTAGGAGTAAATAGAGCAAATCATCATCTTCAAGACAGCATTCCCTGCTCTTTCTTGATCCAGTCCAGGCTTTTCTCATGCTAAGATACTGAAGAGAGGGAAAATAAAGCATTTGAAGTACACACTTTTTATTTTTTTAAATGGTGGTAGTTTGAATATGAACAGTTTGGACTGCTAAAGTGGGACAGAAAAGATGGATTAGTGGGCAGTATGCACGGGAAATGGTCAGACGTGCAAATTTAAGGCAGTTTATTCCATAGTTACACAAATAAAAGATTTTTTGCATTTCACCACCAGATGTTGATACATTTATTTTATTCTCACGTGGTGGCGATACCCATATTACATTCTACTTTTGACCACCTCACCTGCAATCTCCCTCATGTATTGCAATATTCTAAACCTCTGCTTCAAACAGTCTCAAATTTTTAGTGTCTCCTTATCTCCCTCAAAAGTGCAATTCTCTATCTCCCCAAAATTACACTGGAGGCTGACAGTAATATTCCTGGACCAGTATCTTTCCTGGTCTGGATACCTTATGACAACGCTACGAAACTAAAGATGGAAGTACTATTCCATCTCTAGAAATGAAATGGAAAGAAATGATTCTTCTAGCACCAGAAAGTTTCAAGACCACTGGATACTAAAGTCAAGACATTTTTATATCTACAAAGAGCTATTTTAGCTTATTTTTAAGAGGCATTGTAAATGTCAGTGTTATTTTTTCTCCCCTTCTATACTAGGTGTGTAACTAAACTGGACTCCTAACTAAGGATTATGGCTTTCTGGATGGAAGGAAATAATAAATAATTCCAGGAACACCTCAAAAGCATTTTTATAAAGATGGGTAGCATGTACACAGTTGTATTGCGAAAAATAAAGTTTGGGAGTGATCCATATTACTCACTGGTGGACTTCACCAAGTGTTAGCAATGGTGGGAAAAATTTTAGAATGTTTCTTTAGGGTAGACAAGCCTTATGAGGCAAGAGCCTTGCCTCACTAAGTAAAATGTACTCTTTTAGCCCTTGCCTTATTGAAGGTCTGATCCACAGAAGACTATGGAAATCATATCTTTGATTTTAAATGATGCAAGACAGCAAATATGCATTTTGTGCAAGATAAAGAATTTTACTGCTGACTAGCAAACAGTTCCACAGAATGGAATTTGTGCTTATTGTTTTTCATTTTAAAAAACCCTAGGAAATTAAAAATATTAAAGAACATTCAAGTTTCAAAGTGAAGTATGCATAAAGTACAGGTTCTATGGTATGTGGGGGAATGTATGTGATCATATAATTAAGTGTGCCTGATTTACAGTCTATTACACCGCTTTTACTCCACAATATCAATGTGGTTGTATGTTTTTAAAAAGTATTGTGTTTTTAAAAACATATTGGATACGTTCCCAGAGGCTAAAATGAATGCATATTTTATAAATCTAAAAATAAGTTACCTTAAACACAAGGATGCTGTGATAGCTTCATAATAGGAACAAAAATCATGCCTCTGGTCTTGTGGGTTTAAGTCAAAAGCTTAATGGCATTTTAATATTTGTAGTCCAACTGCTACACATCCTAATAAGCAATGAGCCACCTTCCTTTTCAATCTAATATCTGCCAGACAACTGCAGATGAAGAGTAGCACTGCATTCCAGAACATGGTGGTGCTTCCTGTTGTAAAACTGATTAAGATACTGGGCCATGACATTCTAATCACTGACTTAGCAACACGCACCCGGTGTATTGCATTTCTATGTGGAGCACAGGAACACTTTTCCACCGCAACCGTAGGCCTGAACTTAGAAAGGAGAAATAGGATAGGGACATAGTCAAATAGAGACAAGCAGCAATCAAAACAAAGAACAACAGGGATGCTCTCAAAACATTCCTGTTTTAGCCCCAATTTTGGTATCCTACAATGTTTCTGGCTAAGGATTTCTATTTAGTATTGAATAGAAAATAGTATATAGACACAGACCAGGAATTATTTAAGATTGCACTTTAGAAGTACAGGCACAAAATTATTTTTTTCTTCATTATGCCCCTTCCCCAACTGTTCTCTTGTAACACATCCAGCTGTACAGATTTTGCTCAAAACTAAGGGTTTGTCTACACAGAGTTTTCATACCTCTTTGACTATGATATGTCTACACTACAGGCGTTCTAGCAACAGAGCTATGGCACCGTAGCTATGCCATGTAACTCTAATGTAGGCACAGACTATAGTGATGGAAGGTTTTTCTGTCATTGCTGGAACTCCATCTCCCTGAGTGAAGGTAGCTAGGTCAAGAGAAGTATTCTTCCATTGACCTAGCTGCGTCTACAGTGCATCTACAGTGCTCATGGGAGTGGATTTTTCATACCCCTGAGCACCGTAGCTATGTTGATGTAAGTTTTAAGTGTAAACCAGGCCTACAATGGTTTAGAAACAGATGGGGATGCAGTTAGAATCACCTTTATACCAATATAGCTGCATCCCCATTACTATTTTGGTATAAAAAAATCACACTTCTAACCAAAATAGTTAAATTGATACAAATCCCTGTGAGTACACCAGGTCTAAGACTAGGGGTATGTCTACACTAAAAATGCTATAGCAGCAAAACTGCAGTTGCATTGTTTGTATCGCTTCAGTGTAGACACTACCTATGCTGATAGGAGGGGTTCTCCCATTGACCTAGCAGTGTCTACACCAGGGGTTAGGTCAGCATAGCTACATCTCTCAGGGGTGAGGTTTTTCACACCCAACTGACATTGCTATGTAGATGTAACTTTTAAGTCTAGACCAAACCGATGTGAAAAGAATGAGTCTTAAGCAAGTTATCACTGTACTTTAACCCATTTGCAGCTACTTTAAAAACAAATCACATGAGAAGCCTGCTGGTGTTGTGATCATACCATTACTCAGGGTGTATAGCTTCCATTTGCGAGAGTCAGGGCTGTCTTGTCTACAAATGGATTTAAACCGGTTAGAAACTGGTCTCACTAAACTGGTGCAATCTGGATGTGTGAACAGTCTTAAATTTGTTTAAGAGTGCCTGATATCAAAGACATCAAAACCAATTTGAGACAGATAAACTATACCTCTGATCAAATCACTGTATTTATTGTATTACAATACTATGTGCAGGTACACTTTGAAGGAATAACTATGAGAATTAAAATACTGCTTTTTATTCCAAAATAATGCTTTTAATAGTTGACATAATGCATACTAAAAGTATCAACAATTTTAGTTTTCTTTCCATTAAGATTAATTGAAGGGCAATTAAAATCCCGTGGATTTTATTTAAGATTACATTAAAAATCTGAAGGAAAAAAACCACCTTCCAAAAGTATATTTTACTTTGAGTTTACAGACTATTGTACTTTAAACAGAAATTTACTTCAAAAGAACAATTTATATTAAAAATATTTGTCATAAAGTTTCTTTGTTATGACATTAGTATTTTTAATCTAAACAAAAAAAATCCAACCTGAGTTGGATATGAATGTTTACTGGCCAACATGCAATTACATCTATGTTGAAACTAACTATCAAATATGTCCCAGGCTCATAAATATCTTGACTGAAATTTGATATAGTGACTATTGTGATAAGGACTTGCTACTACAAAAAGTGCCACTTGTTCTCCAACTGGTATATTCTGTAAATGCTTGGTATGGCAATCTTCACTCAGGGCAGAAATTTCTTCAGTTTCTACCCTAGTCAGTGGAGTTAAAATTTTTGTATCTCCTGTTATGTTTGGAGAAAACTATTTGTAAAGTCAAGAAAATAAATGTTTTAATGTTATGCTATTAAAAACTAAAAGTTGGAGATAAAAGCTCTGTCATATGTTAAGTTTATATGGTTTAATTTTTTGACACTGCTTAGTGTCTTTTTTTTTTCATTCCATCTATATTTTAAAGGTATGGTACATTTTTTTAATTTAATTTGTATCAGAACTTACCAACCCATAGCTCCCATGGTTTCAGCTCTGGTTTTCCCACGTTTTGCCTCTTTAAGAAGCTCTTCTACTGCCTTTCTAGATATGAAAAGGGGGAAAAAAATATTAAAAACAGATGTATAGACCATTTAAGAAAAAAACTAAACTCTTGCAAGTACAGAAAAGTTGGCTCATATGTTGAAGTGACAATGCCACCAACTTGTGTAAGGTAGCAATTCAAATGGAAGAGGTAGCAACTAGTCATCATTTCCCTTTCACTGTCATAGTCCAAATCTTTACCCAACAAGACAAAAATAGGAAGTCAACAGCAGCTACAAAACGCGTCACTTACATCTGCTCATATTAAAAGCCACCAGGCATTAAAGAAACTTAAGACACATCACTTACATTATTTATTTCAAATTTTAGAGTAAACAACAAGTTTTACTAGTCTACAAATACAGTCTGCTCTAGGACATAAAACTGGAAAACAATAGTGCTTATCACCAACTTATGAATTCCTCCATTTAGAGACTTCTCTCAGTGGCCTCATCTACTCTTAAGGCCTGGTCTATACCTAAAACTTAGGTCAATCTAGCTACATCACTCAGGGCTGTGAAATTTCACAACACAAAACCCCTACTGTAGGCACAGCTAGGTTGACGGAAGAATTCTTCCTTCAACCTAGTTACCACCTCTCAAAGAGGTGGATTATCTACATCAATGAAAAAAACCCCTTGGCTCGCTTTCCTGTCCTGCACATGAAGTGTAAGTTGTTGGCTGTGCTGGAGGAAATGATTCTTGGATTGGAGGTGCAAGTTGAGATGTTACTGAGAATTAGAGAAGCTGAGGAGATCATACACAGCAAGGGTTGGGAAACACCATTACCTCAGGTTCAAGGAAGAATGGAGCTGGCCACAAAGGAACTGGAGAGAGAGAAATTCAGAACGAAAGCTTGGCAGTTCATAACCACTACAGGCAAGAGGACATGGTGGCAATCTACATGGCTGTAGACAGAGAAAAATAGGCAGGCTATCGCCACCAGAGAGAAGAGAACCAGGAGGAATTCCACACAGCTAGAAGTTTCAAATCAATACCAGGTCTTCAACATGGAAACTATGCAAGATATCTCTCATGATCCAGCAGGCCCAACAGAACAGAGAGCTGTACGGGGAAGACAAGTAGATGCCAGCTTGGCCCAACCTGTAAGAAAATCAAGCTTGCCCGCAAAGAGCTTTCCAACCATCCAAGGAAGACAAAATATCCTTATTGGAGAGTCAATACTTAGAAGACTCAAAAGAACATTCTGCAAGGGTCAGGAAGACAACAGGACAGTGTACTGCTTTCCCAGAGCACAAACACCAGATGTCAAGAATAATAGGTAGGCAAGGATCAATTAGTGATGATTCATATTGGCATTAATCTAGCTCCCTGGTAATAGAAGACTTGATGGAACTCTGAAGCATGCTGAAGAGGAAGACTGTCCAAGAGATCTTCTCTGAGATCCTTTCTGTCCCACAAAAAAAGGAAGACAGAAATGAATAGCTAGCTTCGTGGTATCTTTGGGTTTTGTGGAACATTGGTCCACCTTCTGTGAGGAGAAGGGACTGTATAGTTTGGATGGCCTCAACATCAGAAGAAGGGGAACCAATTTCTTCGGGGACAGTATGGGTAGAGTAGTCAGGAAGGTGTTAAACTAATATCAAAAGAGGAAGGTAAAAAGAGGGAAGATCTGAGCAATCAGCACAAAATCGAGATATTCAGAACAAAATTAATCAAGGAACCAAAAAACATAAAAAGAAGAAATTATTTAATTGCCTATACAACAACGTTAGGAGCCTGGGTAACAAACAAGGAATTCAAATAGCTCATTTATGAGGATAAATACAATCTAGATGGTATTACTGAAATGTGGTGGGGATGACTTACATTATTGGAATGTGAAAAAAATCATTGGTTATAACCTATTTAGGAAGGATCAAGTGGGCAAAAGATGAAGGCACGCAGCACTCTATGTCAAATATGCATTACCTCTTTCCAAGTCACTAATAACTCGGAAGAAAATTATATTGGATGCTTATGGATCAGGATCCTAACCAATAAAGCAAAAGATGGGGTATTAGTGTCTGCTAAAAACTACGAAATCACACTAGGGAACAGGATGACCGCCTCCTTATACACCTATCTATAATGTGTAGGGGAAAAAAGCTGTGAGATCATGGGGGACTTCAATTTGAATGACATGTGGAGATCTCATGCTGCTGGTACTAGAACATCCTGGGAATTTCTAAATACTACGGATGATAATTTTCTAACTCGGGTGTTGCATCCAACACAGGGGAATTCTATATTAGATCTCATCTTGACAGATAAAGAGGGACTGATCACTAAACTAAAAATTAATGGTAGCTTAGGTAAAAGTGAGCATGACTTGATCACATTTATAATGTGCAAATAAAATAAAGTCCAGAGCAGTAATACATATATTTGGAATTTGAACAGGGCTAATTTCACAAAGCTGAAACAATTATAAATCAAATCATCTGGAAGGAAGACCGTAATAAAAAACGTGAATGGTAATGGGGAATTGTTTAAGAACACCTTACTAAAATGTCCCAAAAGTCACACTGCCACAATTGAGAAAGAAGGACGTACTGGTTAAAAAAACAACCTGGTTTAGAGGAGATGTGAAGGCAACTCTAAAAAATAAAATATACCTAACAAATGGAAGAAAGGGGAAATTGATAGTAATGAATATACATCAGAAGTTAGGAACTGCATAAAATTGATAAGGGAAGCAAATGGACACAATGAGAAATCTATGGCCTGCAGCGCTAAGGATGGTAAGTTTTAAAAATATATGAGAAACAAAAAGAATACTGAAAATGGTATTGGTCCAGTACTAGATGGAAATGACAGAATTATCAATAATAATGCAGAAAAGACAGAAGTGCATTCAATAAATATTTCTGTTCTGTAAAATGGGGGAAAAACAGATGAAATGGTCTCATCATATGGTGCTAACACAGTTCCAATTCCACTAGTCTCTCCAGAGGATGTTAAATAGAAGCTACTAAAGTCAGACATTTAAATGAGCAGATCCACATAATTTGCATCCAATAGTTTTACAAGCACTGGCAGAGGAGCTTGCTGGACCATTAATGTTGATTTTCATTAAGTCTTGGAACACTGGGGAAGTTCCAGAAGACTTGCTCAGCAGGTGCAGAATGAGAGCTGAATGTCTTTTGGTTGTTTGAAGAGTCACTGGCATTGTTGACTCACAAGATTGGACCTTAGTGAGAAAAATATCCCAATGGCTATAGCTGCCCACTGTGTCACGCATAACGTATGTGAAGCAAAGGGGGAAAAGTTTCTGTCGTGGAGGTGGAGTGGTTGTCTGCTGAATCTGAACAGCAAGATACAAGGGTCATCAGAAGAGCTCAATGCCGAGCTATACAACTCAAGGAGGCTTTGAAAGACCGTTTTAACAGTGAGCCAGAGTAGTGGGTGTTATTGTAGTGTGCTCTACATGGTCCTAGTCTTTGGTGGCTTGGCAAGAATCATGTGATGATTGCTGTACATACAGAAATAGAACACTGTCAATGTATCTATTGCATGTGTGAATGATCCTGAGTTGTGTGACATTGTGCAGTAACAAGTAATTAGTTGCTTTCAGAACTTCTGAGCACTTGGCAGCTAATAAACTAATAAAGATGAATTATGTTCCAGATAGGATTTTATTCTGTAGTAAAATCAGTGCAAAATAAAACCCTGTGTTATTTAAAACAAATACAGTAGAACCTCAGAGTTACGGACTGACCAGTAAACAACACATCATTTGGAACCAGAAGTACGCTATCACACAGCAACAGAGATAGATAAATAAATAAATAAAATGCAGCAAATACAGCACAGTACTGTGTTAAATGTAAATTACTAAAAAAATAAAGGGAAAGTTTAAAAAAAGATTTGACATGGTAAAGAAACTGCTTCTATGTTTGTTTCATTTAAATTAAGATGGATAAAAGCAGCATTTGTCTTCTGCATAGTAAAGTTTCAAAGCTGTATTAAATCAATGTTCAATTGTAAACTTTTGGAAGAAGAACCATAATGTTTTGTTCAGAGTTACGAACATTTCAAAGTTACAAACAACCATCATTCCTGAGGCGTTCTAACTCTGAGATTCTACTGTACACTAAAAAACTTAATACAACGTAATAAATTAAGAGAACAGAACTTATGAAAGGGAAAGAACATTCATGTCCATTTCAGCTACACATACACCAGCCATGGCTTTCAGAGGTCTGTATAGGTATGTGAAGCTGTGATTGTCTTTAATGTCCTGCAGAGTGGAGTGGTAGGGAGAGTGCAGCGACCCCTGATGCCACAGGGAATTTTAGGGAGATCCTGATATTGAGTTCTCGCTGGGCTGCAGAGGGAGCTGAGCTTGCGATTGTTGAACCTGCAGGTCCACCAAAGTCTGAAGCACACGTGTGCTGCCTGAGAAGGCCCATTATGTCCTGGTGCATCTCCCTCTCCTTTTCCTACTGGGACTTATTGGACTCTCTCCTCTCCACTCTTTCATTCTCCAGGCTGTCTGCAATGTTCATCTTCCAGCCCTGTGCTCACTGTCTGATGCAGTACTGGCTTGCAGGATCTCAAACAGGTCCCCCTGAGTCCTCTTCTTTCTCCTCCTTGTCTGGCTCATGCATTCCACGGGTGTGGAGGGGGAGACCCTGAAGGCCGCTGCAGTGGCAGCAGCTGAAGATAAAACACACAGTAGTATCACTGTCAGTGCATTTACTATAGAAAGCAAAAATTAAGATGCTGAACTCACTTCCCTTGCTCCCCTAAAGTTTTATGCACTACATTCTTGCTTTCGGTGTGGACTGCTTGCGCACGGTGCCATTCAATACACTTGCCACAGTGAATATGGCCTGCCCACCTGGGGTTGGGGAAATGAGGAGAGAACTGCTCGGTTGCGTGATTCTAGTTGTAGAGAGCAATGGCACTGAATACTGGCGCTGTTTTCCACAGGCCACGGTGATTTTACCGGATACCTTAATCCTGAGGGTAACAAAGGCACTGAGAGCACAGCT